ATACCAGTGAAAAGCTTGAGAAAGAAATACTGGGGCACTGACAGACAAATGAAATATTTTTTAAATGTCATGGCTGTACAACACGATGCAAGGAAGGGGCTGCCGCTGCCTGAGTGCATTCACTTTGGAGTCTGGAGCAGGGTGTGAGGCTCAGGGCCTGTGGAGATTGTTCTGTCATCTGCTGCAAACCTGACATGAAAGAGGCAGAAAGTAAGATAACAAGGTCTGTGCACTTGTTAAAAAGGAAAAAAGGAGCTCAGGTCCCAAATGCCTGTATGTTTGCTGTGGCTCAGGACGCAGCAAATGCTTCTGTGGGTGTTAGGAGAGCCTGCTATGGTGCTGACACTGTTATCTTTCCATCACCACACTGCCTGCTGCCCACAGCCCTGGCTTTAATGCTCGTATCAAGGGCAGGAATTGACTGCATGGACCAAGGTGCTGGGTGTGAGACAGCTGGGAGGCGTGCACGCCAGCTCCTAGCCACTAATTAGCCACTAATCCCGTGCACCAAGGTTCCCACACACCATGAAGGCTTCCTTTGGTGACTTTTCAATTAGCATCATAACACCCCGAGCTTTGTGTATATTTATCTTTTCTTCCAATTGTCAGGGCCAGCCAACATAAATTAAACCAATTTAGGAGTATCTGCCTGTCTATTATTTGGCAGCTATTAGCCTAAATTGACATAATCCTCTTCCCAGCTGAGAGTCAGACACATTTCATGTTAACCTGGGTTTGACTTTACTGGTGTTCTTCCACGGAAAATGCAAGAATCAGGCAGGCAGTGCTACAAAAATGGAATTCAGTTTTGCAGATCTAGGGGAAACCTGTGAGAAACTCCTGTGCCGGTGTGTGATGTCTAGCACGAGGAGACTGCAGGGATAGGGGGGGCAAGGCCAGCACCTCCATCTCAGGCTGGACAGGAGCTGTACACAGCAAATCTTGGGGGAATTTTAAGGGAGGAGCAGGCATGTGGCATGGGGAGAAGAGCCTGCAAAGAAATCCTCGTGTTTGACTCCTCTCCTAGAAGTGGAGACCAGGGCCAGGGCACCTGTTGCAGCCCTTGGCGCTGTGCAGGCTGCAGGATTCACCCGCAGGCCCGTGGGGCCTGATCCACAGCTCCCCCAAAATAAAGAGGTGCTCAGGGGACTCCGTCTGCCACACAATCAGACCTGAAACAAGCAATATAGTGCTCTGAGGGAGAAATTCATGCTAGGGGCTTAGAGAGAGCTGAAATCTGAGGAGGCGACAGACCCACTGGGTGTATGACCAGTCAGGGAAGCGCAGGCCAAGCAGTTCCTGGACACAAAGGCCACGACCATGCATTTATGTACCCCAAAATCCCTTTCCTTCACACTGCCACCATTCACATGTGTTGGGTGATGGAATTTGGCTGTTTTGTCCCATGGAGGACATCCTCCACCTCCCAGCCCACCAGCCAGGGGCTGCTGCTGGTGCAATTCCCTGCATTTACGGGCAATCTCTGAGCAGAGGCACTTCAAAGCGCTCACCCCAGGCCCCAAAGGCTCTCTCCATTATAGTGCGATCGGCTGTTTACACTGGGGTAATTGATGTCTGTATAATTGGCCTTGTTTACACTGAAGATTTTCAGATATCCTTCGACGCCCTTCCCCTCTCCCTGGAAGCTCTGGCACCCAGAAGGAGCAGCGCAGAGGGGAAATCCCCCCTGCCTGCCCCACAGCTTGCCAGGCTGGGTTCAGAGGGCCAAAGCGTCTAATTTAACCCCAGGCACCCGCTGTCTGCAGCTAACAGAATCTGAGCCCTGGCCAGCTGTGAAGTCACTTCCAAAGGGTGATGCAGTGCAAAGGACAACTCAAAATGACTGACTTTTTTCATAGTACTGTCTGAAAACCATGCAAAACTCCCTCCATATGCACATTTCTCGAAGGAAAGTTGGCCATTTCACCCGTGGCTTAGAAAACACCTTCTTGACCAGACAGCTGCTCTCTCAATAGACTTTCATGAGGAGGTTCCTTCTGGAGGTTCCTTCAGGAGGTTCCCTGGGACTGCCGTGGTGCTGATGCTGTGAGGTTGTCCTGCACTTGCAGGCATCCACCACCACTCCAGCGGCTGGAGGAGGCTGAGAGGCTCACGAAACAGATGCTGCAGAGCTGCTGGTGATGCCTTCTCCGTGAAGCCAAGAGACATCACGTGAGCCAGCCACGTGTGAGACACCAGGAGAAGAACTGGGCCGGGCAAATGCTCTAATTAATTCCCCTTGCTTACACCTGGAAGGCTTTCATTCATCTCAAACACAAAAGACTGCTTCTCATGCACTTTCTCAATTGTTTTAACTCAACACTAAAGCCGACTTACTGCCAAAAGAGGTGGGCCTGCCCTACAGCCCCCGTCCCCTTCCCCGTGTCATGTCCAGCACTCCCACAGTTTGGCAATGGAGTTTAATGGGGCCAAACCAGCCTGAGAACTAGTTCTACTAAAACCAGAGACAAAACACTTTTCTGGAAGAGGAAAGAGCAAGGCTGCTGCTGTGACACAAGAGGGCAGAAATGCATGACCTAGAGTAAGGAGGGAAAGCTCTTTTGGGCAGCCACGTATTCTTCCAGTGGGCTGAGCCAAGCCACGGTGACTCAAATGCTTTTATCTGTTAGGACCCTCACAAAAATGTGCTTTGTTCAACTTCACTGCAAGATGAAGGGTTGAAGTATGCTGTTATCAAGCCGTTCTCACACCTCACCTCTTACAGACAAGGTCTCAGGAGAGCCAGGGTGACGGGACGTCCTGCGAGAGGCTGCTTTTCCCCAGGTTGCTGCCTGCTCTTTGCGGTGACCTTGGGGCTATCAGGGAAATCCCCAGCAGGGGATTACTTCCTGCTGCACCGCGCTGCGGTGCCAAGCTCAGTGCTCACCACCTGCACTTCATACGGGAGACAAATAATACTGAGAAAGATTTTATCACGAGTTATAAAACCCTGGTGAGGATGGACTCCACTTGAGGTGTTCCGAGGCGAGAGCTGTCCTTGAAGCCAGCTACGACGCTGCATCATCAGGTGTCGTGCGTAAATACCGATGCCAGCTTGGAGTTATCAGTGCAATATTTAACTACAGCCTGCGCTGCACAGGAGCTAAACCAAGCGGCTCTGATAAGACAAGATGAAGGGTTTGAAATCCTACATTTCAAATGCAGCTTGTCTGTTTTGTGAGCACAATTCATTCAGAATTGTTCTCCCCCTTTAAACTCTACTTTCATCTCTGCAGGTGATTTAAGCTAAAACAGGGCAAGGCTAGACCACGAAAGGCATCTTGCACTTGGGCACTGCCTTGGAGCCCATGGAGGGCTGCGGTGAGGTGGCAGGTTTAATGAGAAGTTGGTCATGATGGTGTTTCAGGGGCTAAAAATCCATAAGGCACTCAGCTTTCTGGCACTAGTTTGTCAAAACATGCAACGCCTGCCTGTAGAGTTTAAAAATAAATGTATGCTGTACTGGGGAACTCACTGGTTTCAGTGGGAACGCAGGAGTACTTTCCAGGAGTCGGGCTGAAGCATTCAGCACACTACTTGTCTGCTTCTGGCAGCAGCTGGAGATCTGGGCAAGGGGTAATAAATTCCTGGCTCTGCGGAGATTCCCCACATAACCTTTGGCAAGTCAGTTGCTGAAAAACCTCACGCATAAAACGGAGAGGTGCTGCACCTACCTCCCTGCGTCTGCACCTCCTCCGAAAGCCCCACAGGTTGGGAACTGGCTCTGGCAGCGGGTACCTGGGCGGTGAGAGCTTGAGCAACTGCATGAGAGCAAAATAGTCTTTGCTCGGGGCCAGGGGCCGGCAGGGTGTCAGTTTGGCTTCCCTCTCCTCCAGGTTTCCTGAGCTTTTGTGTCCTCCTGCACCTCCTTCGCTCTGGAATGACACAGCCCAGCTCTATGATTTCACCTCCCACCCCAGGCAGCTTAACCATGGTGTTAATTAGGAGTGATTTATACCCCCACTGATGGTAAAAGAGGGTTTATCTTCCCCCCTCCCCAAGAAGTCCTAGCACTCAGAGCAAAGTTTACAGTGAAATAAAGAGCAACACACATATCTCACCCCCACCCTACCCTGCAGGGCTATTGCTCATGTGTGGGAGCTGGAGAAAAAAAAGCAGCAGAGAAATGTCAATGTAAATGTGCCTGCTTTCCCCCTCACACCCAAACACCCCGTATAAACAAACAGCCGTGGCCAGGCGCTCTGTTTTCTCGTCAAACAGAGGCAAGCAAATACTCAGCATCCCTGTGGCTGGAGCCACGTAAAACCTCTTTGCTGCGGAATACTTTCACTTCGCTTAGGAAGGAGCTGAGGTTTCCATCGGCTTGGGATAAGGGAAAAGAGAGAAAAACGCAAAGAAAACCCACAGATGTTGTAAATTGCTGGGCCTGGCGGTGGCAGGGCTGTCACTGCCTGTCCCGGGCTGTCAGCGATGTCCTCCCAGTGGCAGGGGAAGAGCAAAAATCTCCTTTTGCAGCAGAGAGCGAGCAGAGATAAAGCGGGCTTGTAGGCGCACGCAGGGCATGTGCATTGTATAAACACGGCCTGGCTGAGATGTGAGCCCGATAGCGCGGGCTGAGGCCACGGTTGCAGGGGAGACAGATATGGGGTCTTCCCCAAATCCTGGACTAAACGGTCCCGAAGCTCCTGAGCATTGAGGAGCCAAGCCTGGGCTAAAGGAAAGGCCAAGGGTTATGTCAGCAAGCCCTGATCCTATGTTGCCCCAAAAGGCTGATGGAGTGGTGTTGTGTACGGCCTTTATATTTATGAACAGGGTCGGTTGGGGTGCTTTCTTCTGAAGCACTCCTCGTTTCAGAAGGGAACAGCCACAAATACTAGAGAGAGACGCCGCTACACCTGCCTGCAAAGGCACTAAGCGGGGCTGACAAAGCTTAAAGAGAAGCGCAGAGACACCCGGTCTCCTGACCTTTCCTCAGAACAAATCTCTTGGCTCCGACACTGGTTCCTTTTGTGCCACCAGACAATTCCCTTTATCCTCTGCCCTTCAAGTAGAATAACATTTGCCTGCTCCTGAGGGCAGCCACAAGGATAACTCAGCAACTGCCCGGGGGCTATCGGCCCCACCTCCTCCTCAGCAAGCCCTGAAAGCAGCTTTTTTCCATTCGCTGTGATTCCTTCAGTGCCGTGCTCTTTGATTACAGCACTGACTTATTTGGGGGGAAGAAAACGCGTTAATTTTAAGTGAATCCAAAGCTTTGTTTTGAATTTACTCCAGTTCCCGAGTGTGGGAAAAGTAAACCATCAGTTGTTTATGTGCCATCCCTCCCCGTGTGCCTGCTGGAACACTTGCACCTATTTTAAGACAGTGTCAGAGCAAAAAAAGAGACTTCTTCGCTTTCAGAATGCCGCTTCTTGCGGTGCGCCGTCAGACCTGCGGAGCGTCTGCATGTTTTTTAAGCTCTCAGCTGATGCAGAGACACACGGAGCTCCCAGGGAAGTGATCAACATGTGAAAACCTATTTCAGATTCCTTTCGAGTGATGCTGGGTAAATCATGATTCAAGAGCTGACTGACGAGAGCTGGGAGCGGGAGCCTCAGTGGCCAAGGCGTTCTCTGCCGTTCCCAGTCCCCAGTGAGAGCCCTTCTGCCCCAGCCCACTGCAGACCGTAACACTAATTTTGGGGAAAAAAACGTTGGTTTAGAAACTACTACTACTGAGGACTAAAAACAAAAACAACAAAAAACACCACAAACGAGTGTCCCGGTAATTAAACAAAAGGATATGTAGGTATTAAAACAATTTGCTTCTGAAATTCTGTTCACAACTTAAGCAAACTAGCATTATCTCACCTCTATTACAAAATAGCTGAATTTAAGGATTCAAGCTCAAAATGTGCCCATGGATTTGCAGATTTGTTGTATGATGATGCAAAGGTGCTGTTGCTTAACAGGGGATGCTGGACAAACCCTCAGAAAGACGCACTCTTAATACAGAGATCAGCTTATTTAGGTTCTGCCTCACAGTGACATCACATAACCTTCATTTCAGTTTAATTAAGGTATTTCCAGAGTCCCGGATCCCACAACACATTCAGTTGTCTTTCAGAGATGCTTTCTCACTCTTTTTCACACTACAGTTTTTCACTAAAAGCAAAATTACAGTCATTAGGTGACCTAACTGTATTTTCCCCTTGTTTCAAAAGGCTCGGGTGAATCACTAAAAAAATACTATCAGAGAGATCAAAGCATCTGCAGAGAAGTTATCCGTGTGTATTAAACTCTACTGAATCAATTCCAAAACTGTGAGTAATCTTTACGAAATGGATTGGTGTTTTAACGTCTATTAATCAAGTGTGAACCTAATATTCTGATCTGTTGTCAGATTTAGCTGCCTTCTAGGCTGTCTCGGGGTCTCAGTCCCCAAAGGACTGCCAGGCTCTGAGCTATTTGCATCACTAAAAGTGACTTCTCCTCTTTTAAGTTGAAACCACATCGCCTCAGATGGGAGCTGCTGATATAATGGATATTCACATTACAGCTCCGACATCTTTCAGAATCACGAACCCTACACTCGTAGAGAGCAAACCCCAAAATAAATAACCCCCATCCTTTTTTCTTACGGGTTTCCACCTTACTTTGAGGGCTCTGAAAGAAATGCAAATTGGTGTTTCAAATAGAAAGCGCCACAAAAAAAAAAAAAAAGAGCTCCACGCCCTGCCTTGTGGCCAGGAAATGCTTGATATTCCACGGTCCTCTCTGCTGCTGACTTACGAGATGTGGAGGGAGGCATCGGGAAGCTGCAGCTTGCTCCAGGGATCCCAGCTGACCTGTGTGGGCAGCACAACCGGCAGTTTCCTGGCAGCAGGTACTCGCCACGAATCACAGTATCCCGATAGCAATTTCATAGTTTTCTTGTGAAACATTAAAAGCAAAGTGTTATTAGGATCTTGGTTACTAGAAGTGCTTTCCTAAAAGTTAATAGTGTAACATAATTCATTATTAGAGCATAGGAATGATCCATTTGGGATCCAGGAGGGCTAAATTCTATTTATTTGATGTACGTGAGGCTTCACTGAAATCAGCTGAAGATCAAGGTCTGTGCAAATCCCAATAAACATAAGTTCAGACAGAAGACGACTACAAAGGAAGGGCTATGGGAAGGACTAACAGCAAACGGGTGGCAGAATTCGTAGGTAGGTGGTTGGCTTTGAACTTACTGTGCCAGAGTGCGTTTTGTAACAACAGCCATCAGCGACACAGAAATATAGAAATAAAAATAGGTGGTAATCCTTGCCCACTCGAAACCCTTGTTTCCAAACATCTCAGCTCTCCCCGAACACTGTTTTGACATAAATACCTCCCTAACGTCTTCCATCGCAGAGACTTTTAATAGTTTTCTGAAGGAGATTTCAGTTGCTTCGTGCAATTAGTAAGCCTAGTTAAGCCTTATTTGTACACTCCGTTTCCTTTGCCCAGCGCTGGCAAGTCCAAACAACGTTGATGCTATGGAGCAAATAACGTAAACACGAGGTAAAGCTCTAGACAGCTGGATTCTACACCGAATCCTTAGAACAACGCCACAAAAAACCTAGCAGCTGCTGTGCAAAGCAGCAAACAGCACGAAAAACAGTGATCTGCTATTTTAGGTTGTCCCCGGACACCCCAAAGACGGGTCCTGGATGTTCAATAATGCATCGCACGACCGTTTTATTTTTGCTCTACGCAGCCTTTCTTCTATGGGAAGCAAGACTGGTCTGGCCAGAAATAACATTAGATGATTTTTTCAGTGACTAACAGATTAGTTTATAATAATCTTGTAACTCGTGAAGAATGAGCATCGGGCTGGATTAGGCAGGACTTGTTTGACCTGCTCGGCTAGAGGTGGACTCCGGCGCTCACAATTGGATTCCGGTCTGCAGCCCGAAGCACAAGGCTCGCCCAGAAAATGATGAGCCCAACGCCTGCAACCTGGTTAAAAGAATTTCCAGGGTCTGTTTTTCCATCTAAGCAAGCCCCAGCTGAATAACAGTTGTCATCCCCAACAACCTCAGCTGTGCGTTCCCTGCTGCATTTTCCCCTTCTGTGCCTACCTCTGACCTTGGACCGCTTCTGCAGGTTTTGAGCAGCAGAGTTCAGCCTCCTGGCGACCTCGTCCTACGAGAACTTCTCCTGAGGGAGGGCTGCTAAAGATGGTTTTGTAGCTGACCCGGTACTGGAACAACAAACTCCATTTCAGTTTGAGTTGCAGTCTGGGTTTGGTCCAAGACTGCAGATTGCATCAAATGCCGTTTTCTTTCCTGCAAAATCACACATCAGCAGCATTTCTACCTGGGGAGGTTGGCATTTCCAAAAGTGCTCATCACTGACCTTCCCCCCAGTTTTTGCTATACATTTCATACAGGAAAAAAAAAATCCACTTCCAAATACTCCCCATAGTTAAAATATTAAAAAAGAGAAAGTGGATACCTGAGTTGGGCTTAATCCTATTGACAGTGCTCAAATAGGCAACCTTTTCAGGCTTCTTTCAGCATAACAAATATTTGTGAAAGAAATGCTATCGTTTCTGCATTTAGCAGGGAGGTTTCATTAACTTAAACTCTTCCAGCATTCCCCGTACTTCTCCAGAACAACTCGCAGTATCTCACAGTGCCTGAGAGGCTCAACTTGTTTCCAGACTACAGAGTAATTCTGTATTCAGAACGACTGCTTTATTTGTAATGAATAAGTTACTCTGTTTCTCTTGTTTTATGAAGCCTCACGGCTTCCCCAGAATGCGTTACACAAAGCAATTTATGCAAGCGTTGTTATAAATAACGGCCTACAGAATGAAAAGTTTAAAACCAGTATTTGCTATTCAAAATTCAGGCCACATTAGCAACTTCTGATTGGAGCCGCAGATTGCATGATAATGTTTCTTTCCGGTGACTGATGAACGGAGGAAGAGAAAGGCTAACTAATATCTTGTGCTCAATCAAAGCGTCATTAATCTAGCTGAAGCATTTCTCTAATTCTGCTTAGTTAGAAATACGATGGAAATCTTCACGGAGCTACGCTTAAGCTGACTTAAACTGATATCTCCTGAACTGGCTTAATTTGGTTATTTACTGTGAATACAGATAAGGCCGGAGATACAGTAACAGTTATTTGTGCCTGGTTGTGATCCTGTAACATCAAAGACTTCAGAGAGTCAAGCTTGACTTCAGCTGCAGGTGAAAGACTAGGATCAGGCCCTAGGATGCAATACTACATGCTTAGAGACACATGCAGAAGTGTAGATTTTGTTATATAGATATTTATTGCTATGAATATCCCTTCTAGTACATTCCCATCAGGTGAAATCAAACGTAGAAAACCCTTCTCCTAGGACAGTATAAATTCAGTGGCTTTTCAGCAAGTTGACTTTGTTGCGGATATATTGGTGTATGTTCTCTATATGTGGCAGAGACGAAGTTGGATGCTTAGGATAGGAAGGTGTCTCAAGGAACAAACGGGGTTAAGTGTGGTAGCAGGAAAAACGAGTAGGGTCCTGAGCAAGAAAAGTGAGTAGGGTCCCGACCTTCCCCCAGTGGAGGAATGGGGACTGAGGGCAGGTGAAGCAGATGGAAGTCTCTCTGCTACATTTCCGCTCCCTTTTCTCAAAGTAACCCTTGGGTTTGAGGTCCTTGTCCTCTCCTTTCCCCAGTGGGTCAGTGCTGCTGCCCGCACAGCCTGGTCCTAGGGCAGCACCGAGCTCTCCAGGCAAGGTGCGCAGGAGGGTGGGTGACTGTCAGCTCGACGGCCGGGTCCTCTCCAAACACTTCTCCGCCATGCAGAACACCTCCTTCTGGCTTTCCTTGTCTCTCCAGGCTGACTTTCCTCTTTTCTGCAGGCTGACAACGTAGACCCCTCAGGTCCCCCCTCCCTCAGATCCTCACAGCACCCCTCCTCTCCCCTCCGCACCACACCACGCCCTCCGCACTCCCACACCCCCAACACCCAACCCGGCCGGCCCCACCCTTAACTCCACATCCAAAAAAAAAAAAAAGAAAACAGAAAACACAAACAAACAAAAACCCAACACCGAGCCGTCCCCCGACGGCGGCGGGGAGGCGCTGCGAGCCCCAGCACCGCGTGAGGCGGCAGCGGCTGCCTCGTGAGGGAGCCTCGACGGCCGCTTCGCCCCTCTAAGAGCTTCTAAGAGCCTCCAACGGCTTTTAACGGCTTCTAACGGCTTTTAACGGCCGCCCTCCCGCCGCCATCTTCCCTCCCTCCCTCTCCCCTCAGCGGCTGCCCGGCGGCGCGCGCTACCTGGCGCGCGGCGGCACCTTTACCTGGGCGCGCCTCCGCCAATGGCAGCGCACCTGCCCGGCCGCCCCGCCCAATCAGCTCGCGGCTCGGCTCCGCTCCCCCCCGCGCGCCTTTACCCCCCGCAGCCCCGGCGCCGCTCGGCCCAAGTCACCTGCGCGCGCCCGGCCCGGCCGCTCGCCACCTGCGCGGGCGGGGGGGGGGGGGGGGCGGAGGAGGAGGAGGTGGTGGAGGGGGGGGGGGGCTGCGCTTTCTCGCTCTCTCCAGCGGTCCTGCCTCGGTTGGCAGCCGGGCCAAGCTAGGTTAAGGAAGGGGAGGGGGGGGGGGGAGCTAAAAGTAAGCTGTTAAAAAAAAAAAAAAAAAAGAAAGCAGAATTACCTGTAGCTCTGGTTCTGCCGTCCCGCTGCTTCTCACACCGCCGCACACGCCTTTACCTGCACAGACCTGAAAGTCCAGTTCCACCGGGGGAGACCGAGGAAAAAAGGGGGAGCGAGTTCATTGGATCAAACATGTCACAAGAGACGGACAAGTAAGTGATGGCAGCAGGCACGCTGCGCCCCGCCGCCCGCCCCGTGCCCTCCTGCCCCGCCGCAGCCACGGGCCGGCAGCGAGCCGCGGCCGGACCCCCCCCCCCACCTCCTCACGAGAAGGGGGTCCTCGGGGCTTTATTCCTTTATTTTTATTTTTCAAATAGTTTTTGGGCTTCCCCACCGCCCGCCTCCAGCTGCCCCGGGCCGCCCCGACGGCGTGGGGAAGGCCCCGCGGCCCTGCTTCGCTGCCACCTTCCTCCTCCTCATCCTCATCCTGCTTCTCCTCATCCTCTTCTTCTCCTCCTTCCTCCCGTCGGGACTCCCAAAAAAATTCTGGGGCAGCACACGGGCAGCCGCCTCCTTCCCCCGGCCGCCCTCGGGCTCACGCAGCGCTCGGTGCGGAAAACCCCCAAATTCACCTTTTTTCCTTTTTATTTTTAATTTTTTTATTTTTTCGCTCCCTGGGGGTGTGTGGGGGAGAAGGCAGCGTCCAGGGAGCCCTCCGAGCAGCCTGGCAGTAGGCGCAGGGACGCGGCCGCCAGGGCCATTTTGGGTGCCCGGGCTGCGGGGCGAGGAAGATGGAGGGCGGGCGGGCGGCGGGGGGGAGCGGGCTCCGCTCCGGGTCCGCAGCCGGCTCCCCTCAGCTTCCCCCGGGGCTTTTGTGGAAAAAAAGGTGGAGAGGAGGAGCCTACCCGGGATGGGGACCCCGGAGAAGGGCTGAGAGGCTTGGTGGCGAGGCGGCTGTCAGCAAGAAAGGGAGAAAACGCCAGGGTTGGGTGCCGTGATAGGGGCGCTCCGTGAGGATCCTCCGCCGAAGGGTGGGGAGTCTGTCTGAGGAGAAAGATTGTTTTTAATAAAACCATTCCTCCTGGCCTTCTCAAGCCTCGTCCGACAGTGGTAGCTGAATGTGGAAATGGTAGGGTTGTGGTAGGAGTCGGGCTCCCAGCCCTCGCTTTGTGCCCGTCTTTGTGGCAGTGGGATCAGGAGCCAGTGCCACGGGGGACCCGGTGAGCGCCAGCCCTGAAATGAAGGGGATTGTGGCAGGAGCTGAGCTCCCAGCCCTCGCTTTGTCCCCATCTCTGTGGGAATGGGCACCAGGGCCTCAGGAGGCCCCGATCAGCGCCATCTAAGCGCCATCGGGCCGTGATTTAAGTGCGAGGAAGGGAATGAGGAGAGAGCCCCGAGGGATGCTGGCGAGGCGGGGAGGAGCAGAAAGAGCAGTGACTGGGCTGGGAGGGGAGCCAGGTTAACTCTGAAGGACCCGAAGGGCAAGCAGCCCATCCAGAAGCTACGCCAGAAGGAGAAAAGGGGCCCACGAGGTGCTCCCCGGCCAGCCATGGCTCAGAAGGGCACTCCAAGCACAGCTCCAAGGAGCGAGAGGGGAATTGGAGGGGGAAGGGAGCAACTTTGTGCCACGGCCAGCTTCGAAGTAGAAAAATAGTGCACTTGGAAACCTATCTTCTACATAAGACTATAGGAACTTGGGCAAAAGTGCTTCTCCTCCAGGTTTGGGATGCTGCTAAGCCACGGGACCATCCTTCCTTTCACCCTGTGGCATAAGGGTGAGCTGCAGGGACCGGGGCATTCATGCCCTTTGTCCCTGCTCTGTGTGGTGCTGCTGCTATTACCACCGAGGGAGAGCACGCAGTACCCTGGAGCAGTGGTAATTCCCCTGCTGCAGGTATGCCTGGGATCTGCTGCTGGTCGGAGGTGTTGAGAAAATCCAGAGGGGGTAGGTAAGGGTTTGAAAAGGAAGTCAAAAGTAAATCCCCTGGGCTCTGTATACACAAGTGTAACGTGAGAAGACAAATACGTTTGTTTTCAGAAAAGATGGAATGAGAAGTTAGACTAGGGGGTTGCATGGGAAGGCTTTTTCTTTTTTTTTAAGGCTCTAATTATATCCAATGAAAGCCTAATCTGGGGAGTACAAAGTTATTCTCTCCCCACGTGGTCTTCCTTTTACTTAAAAACAAACCTTCCCTACAGGCAGGACTGGGTAGGGAGGCTCGTTATTTCGAGGTCAGTTAATTTGTCAGTGTCATTGGACGTGTTTTTGAGGGACTTGTGCTGGCAGAGTGCTGATGCAGACAAGTGAGCAGCAGGGGGGGTGCTGGAAGCACGGAGGGGCTGCTTTGGGTGCCACCTGCGCCATCACCTTTAAGCCTGGAGGGTGGTCGGGAGGTGAAAATGCTAAAGATCAGCTCCTTTGCTTCTTATGCTAAGTGAGGAGCTTGGAAGGGGAGATTATCCCTAAGACACCCTGCATATCTCCCCGTCTCTGCCTTTAGTTTTCGTGCTTAAGCCGGGTCTTGCCTGCTTTCTTCCCCGAGCTCCTATCGGCCAGAAGAGATAAGACATGATTTCACATGCATTTTTCAGAGGTGGTACCGACCTCAGCAGGCCGTGGCCACTTGTTCCTGCCTCCCTGCCACCCCCTCGGTTGTGTCAATAGAGCTGTTTGTGCCTTGGGAGAGCTGGGCAAGAGGAGTATGGGGCCGAGAGTAGCCTGGTTATTTTTGGCACCCACTTTTCCTCAGTCTGGCTTCATCACGCCATCCAAAGATGTAGGCTGGAAAGTTGCTCTTACTGTAATTTTTAGAAATAATTTATCACCACACAACTGCGGATTCATGGCTAGTGAAGCTAATGGGTGACCTCAATACCTGAGAGTCTTAACGAGGCATTAGAGGCCAGCCCCGTGGCGTGTGGGATGTGACACAAGTGTCCCCACGCTCCCACTGTTGTGTCAGCCCCAAATCCCACACGGGCTGGGGCTGAAGTTGTGTGAGGAAGCTCAGCTCGGCCGGGCAGGCTCCAACCACCTCCGTACGCACGAGAGCGGCTGAGGACACTGGGCAGACGGGGCCGGGGCATGCTGAGGCTGACCACATGAAGGAGGGCACCCGGCACGTCCGTGTGGGTAAATCAGTGAGGGGAGAGCAAGCCTGGATGTGGGAATGGGTTCAGGCCTGCTCCCGTGTGTCAGCGGAGGCACGTTCCCATCCAGCTTGCCCGTGGCTGAAGTCCATCGTGGGCTCTTCACAGGGTAATTTGGCCCCGATTTTGTATTTCTTCCTGAATATGTACGTGTAGATGCTGCCTTCATAACATTTAGCTCAAGCATCCTGTGCTCTAACAGCAAAGGGCATTTATGGTTTGCAGTGCGAGTCTTTGAATTATCCTTAATTCTTTCTCTGAGGGCCGAACCTGTTCCCACCAACTGATGGGCAACAGCAATTAGGTTGCAGACTGCTCCACTCTTTATTTATTTTTTCACTTCTGAGGGTCTGGATAGACAATCCATTGAGTTTTCCAGTGTTACACATCCAGGAATGAGTGGAGAAATGGGAATTGGAGGTGTTCAGTGCTTGCACTTTTCAGGTGTCAAACTTGCTCCAGAAAAAATGTCCACATTCCCCCGAAAATGCCCATCTCTGTACAAGGAAGGTGGAAAGTCGGCTTGCAGAACCTCCCAGAACTTGCAACAGTAATTTAGCTGAGCAGAGTAAGGGTATGAAATGGTTACGTCCCGCTGTAACAGCGGGGTGGCTCTAGTGGTGAGACCAGAAGATCAAAGCAGAAGAGGAGGGAGGGTTTTTTCCCAGGTCACTTACCTGCTTGAGGTGATCACATAACCTCCTCCTTGTGAAGGAACAGCAGAGACATCCTGCGTGTTTTGCAGGGACACATGAAGGGGAAGTGATATTATTACACTGACACTTTTTGTCAAAAAGTTTCACAAATATTAATCCAGCGCAGACTGTGATAGTTACCGCAAGTAATTTCTTCTGTGATTATGAAGCAGCCTATTAAGTTGCCTTTTTTTTTTTTTTTTTGTACACACACACCACACGCACACAAAATAGCATTTTTAAATGCTGATTAGGAATTCATCACGGGATGAATCTTCATTAGCTTTCTAATCAGTGATTGGGACAGTAGCAGCTAATTGAAAGAAAAGGACTAATTAGTTCAGATGCCCTGGTATGCGGGGACACGGTCCTGTTCTTTAATAGCACTAACTTTGTGAAGAAGAGAGCGGCTGCTTATGAAATATTTAACCAACGAAACCATATTAAGTGCATGTGAACTGTGAAGAAGTCAAATATTGCAACATAGCTGTAAGTTAGAAACGTCTTTAACCTTGAGGGTTACACATATCCCTGGATTTGTTGATTTTCCTAATAGTTTGAGGTAGCGGCATTTTGAATATTCCTATATTTTAGTTCTGTAAAGTATGCTTTTGCTTTTATGCTCGTTTTTCTTTGGTGTTCTGGGTAATCTCGACTCCCAGGATTGCTCAGTCCTGGAATACATGCTCCCCTTCTGCCTGTGTAAAGCATTTCTGGATGCTGAAAACCCAGCCATCTGCTATTAGCGCAGCACCGATTGCATTCCCATTAACCCACGCGGAGTAATGAATGAGCCAGGGCTGCAGGGTCAGCGGGCAGGTTAACCTGCGGCAGGCCGAGGAAGCTTTGTCATGACCTGTTTTAATTTTAAAGCCTCCTGCTGCTGCTTCAAGGCAGCTGAAACAACTTTGGGCACTGTGCGTGCTGGAAGTACGCTTCTGAGCAACCCAGAGCATGGCCTGATCCGAAGCTACTCAGCTACTGCTAGTTTAGATCAACTCCGTTAGCTGTAGGGGCGTGAGCTCCAGAGAATCCTCATTTTTTGAGGAGATGTCGCTGTTTCTTCTGCCAATATGCTGAAACCTACTTTTTTTTTTTCTTTTTTTTTTTTTGAGGTTGCTCTCTGCTTGGCTTAAAAAAAAAAAAAGGCAACAGTCTTAGTGCAGTAATAAAAATGATTGTCTGGTAGAAATAATATTGAAGTAAGAGTCAAACAAAACAGTCTGAAATCACAGATCCAAAGTCTGTCTGGAGATGAGTAATTGCCTGCTTGTGAGAGTCCTCAGTAGGCATTTACTAGCCTTTGTTACAGAGCTCTTTTTTTTTTTGTACCTCCACTTTGACACGCTTAATAATATTTTTGTCAA